GAACACGGCCCAGAAAATGGCAAGCAAAAGTTCAACCAAACAAGACGAAGAAGCAACAACGGAAGAAGTGCCAGGGTCGATCGCCATATATACAGAAGAAGAAACTTAAACTTTCAGTGCTTTCGCTTGGACACGTCATTTCTTTCAGTTTTGCAGTCAAAGAGGTAAAAGGTATAAATTATTTTCCTTCTCGAGCAAATAATATGGAAATTTGAAAAAAGATGTCAAAGATAAACGGCTCGTAAATACAGCGCAATACCCTTATTATCCTTAAGATAGTGTAAAGTTTGTTTAAAAAGCTTGAAAACAAATGTGAAAAATAGTACAAGGTACAAATAAAGCTGTCAAAGATTCAAACGTCTACGACTGATCCTGCTTCCTGTCCGCTAACGCAATGACAGTGCTGACAGTTGACTTTGAAATGGCCCTCTGGGGCGCGCGCTCAGGATAAAAACCTGTTTTTCTATCTTCTTATTTTTATTCAGTTATGCGATTCAAGGAAACTCCATTACCTTACTCGTGAATTTCGCGTTAAATTGTACTTGAAAACCGATATCGCGATTCCTGCGATATCGGTTTTAATGTGCAATTTAACGCGGAATTTCCTAGTCAGGCAACTGATTTTCCTATAAAATCTACCTATTAACCTCTCACCTTGCATGAGGTCTATTGTGAAATTGACATCGCGAAATAATATCGAATTATTTTTGGTATCTTTCGACGTAGAATCGCTGTTTACCAACGTTCCTATCGACGCCACTGTACAAGCCGCACTGCAGAAACTCGAGAACGACCCAAACCTTGCAGACCGCACCATGCTAACGCCTGCACAGATCGCTGACCTTTTGACCTTCGTATTGAGATCCACATACTTCCTGTATAATGGATCGATTTACGAGCAAAAAGACGGCGCCGCCATGGGGAGTCCAGTTTCCGCTGTTATTGCCAACCTCTACATGGAGAGGTTGGCAATAAGAGGATAACTACATCATCCTACGAGCCTAGGATCTGGAAACGCTACGTGGACGATACCTGGACCATCCCGGATCGCGAAAACGTAGATGACCTCTTACAGCATTTAAACAACCAGCAGTCTTCCATCCGCTTCACCAACAAACTTGCCTTCCTAGACACCGCAGTTTTAAGACAACCTGACGGCCGCCTCACCACCAGCGTATACAGGAAGCTCACGCACACCGATCAATACTTAGCGTACGATTCACATCACCCTCAATCAGTAAAACGCGGTATTGTTAAGTGCCTTTACGAGCAAGCCAAACGTCTCGTAACAAAACCCCCCCTCATCTCCGAGGAGAAAAAACATCTGTCATCTGTTCTGGTTTCTAATGGTTATCCTTTTTCTTTCTTGCAGAAACTTACCAAGACCGGAAAACCAAACAACAGTGCCGAACCCGCCGACGAGTTTAAAGCTACTGGAGTTTTACCTTATGTCAAAGGCCTGTCCGAACAGCTTCGCCGTTGCCTATAGCAACAGGGCGTACGCGCTGTTTTCAAGTCGGAGACTACGCTAAGATCTCAGTTAGTACGAGCAAAAGACGCTGTCGACCCGGCTAAACAAGATGGCAGGATTCCCTGCGAAAGTGGCAAGGTATACATCGGAAAGACTGGAAGACCTATGCAAGACAGAATTAAGGAGCACGATAGAGACATTCGACTCGCCCGTACCGAGACCTCCGCCGTTTCAGAGCATGCACACAACACTGGACACAAGCTACTCTGGAACGAAGTAAAGTTTATTGATCGTGACCCTTATTACTACACGCGCAGAGTCAAAGAGGCGATTCACATAAGACTTCACCCTAACAACATCAACAGGGATAGTGGAATAGAAATTCCAGAAGCGTGGATGCCCACGATCAAAAAACACAACAGGAGAGCCGTGCGACAGCAGACCGCTGAGGAGCAAATCACTGAGTGAACAGCAAGGATCGAAATGCACCAATCAGAGCTGTTGAAAAAAACTAATCACAGCAGAGCATCATGCTTTATAAGATCACGCATGACCAGTCAACCTCATCGCCTGAAGAAGACAAGCAGTATGCAGTTGAAACGTAGTGATCTACATCACACGTGACTACATCGTGAGACAAACGAAAAACTTAGCTCTTATAGTTATTCACCACGATGAATAACCACAACCTTTTCTGCGATATTACAAAGTTAACTACAAATCGCTAGGAAATAACTCAGTACAGTCTTATTATTATTGAGGCAAGACGAGGCAATTGATTTTGGCCCAAGGTTGACTTTTCTGAAGAAAAATGCCACGGGAAATGCTTAAAGGAGCATTGCTGAGCCTCTAGATTTCACAATTTTCTGGGGGAGCATACAGCCAGGCCCATCTAGCGGCTTGCGCCTCCGGCGCTCGAAACTTGCCTCGTCTTGCTTTGGAGTCTAGCTACGGCCCTGTATTAGTTGTATTTAAGTGTGGACAGTCTGTTTTCGCACTTGTTACAGTTTTTGATAGACAAATAACGTAGGCTGAAAATCTACGTTTTCAAAGGAGAGAAGTTATTGACGGCGGAAATGGAAATTGTTTTTACCGAGCTGTTGCTCTTTGGAAGAATGAAACAAGCGATGAGAAACACGAGGAGATCAGTAGGTTGAGTTCCAGGTTGTTTCAGAAAAATCCAAAGGTTTTTAAGCTTCCACTCCTCGCTATTTTCAAGTACAAACACAGTCATGGCTACCTCAACACTAAGATTTTTTTACAGTAATTTCTTCAGCTGATCTAACTGTCTAATTATCATAATTTACTGTAACTGCACAAGTTCTCTCAATGTTACGCTCAGTAGACAACGCATCCGACGGAATCGTCTTTAGGGATCTTGTTTAGTATGAATCTGTTAGCGTTCTATCATTAATTCATTAATTCTATTAATTCTAATAATTCTATTCTATCATTAATTCTACATTAATTCTAAATTAACAAAGCTACTCGCTATCTACTTATAAAAATAGATTCCATGTTGTCGTTTGTCTGTTCAGTCATAGATCACGGATAAAGTAATACAGATGACGATAGATGTCACAGGAACAAAAAAAATATCTCACCACATTATGAAGTCTACGATCTTTTACCCATCTGACGCACCAATATGTAATCTGTTTGTCTCAAAGTTTGGTCAATGGTAACAGATCATAAGCAACAGCCAATCAAAATATGTGTATAGCTCAATAAACAATCCGTGATAGATAGTGAGTAAAGTGAGTGACGTAGCAGTGTACGAGTGAAAACAACATGAAATGAAAATTAAAGCCTGTTTTTGCAAATTTGAACGACTAGTAGATTTCTGCTGTAACTACGTTGTTCGCTCTAGATTTATTTGTGTGTTAGTTGATTTCGGCGTCACCCACATCAACTATCACGCCATATGCATAGAAATCTCGAGCCTATACTTTGGACATTTGAACATTGAAGATATCAAATATTGTAAATGGACATTCTGTAAATTAAAGCACAGGGTGCACACCTCAAACGAACGGGTTGAGCAAAATTTTGCGATTTCTCCGTGGCGAGCGAAAAAACTATTTTCCAGAGCCCGTGACTACGGCAATAGAACAATTTCTTGAAAAAGCATCAGCAAAATCACCCTTCTTTGCTATAAACAAATTCCCTCAATTGCTTATTAGAAGACGAATAATGATCTCGCACATATTCCTCCATTTTGAGTTTTTTTTAACTGTTTCCATCATTTCGTTCAAAATCCTTGGCAAATGTTGCTGTGCCACTGCGCTTTCCACACGGTTTATACGATTCATTGCCTTCCTTATTACCGGTTTCCCACCAAGTTGCAGATGGCTTAGTTGTTTTGTGGAATTCCTTGTTACGCGGATGTTTTCTTCAAGCACTTGCCGTGACTGACGTGAAAAGGATAACAAGTCTATAATTGTGATTTCGCCTGCAAAATGAATATGGTCGTTAACTATTTCTAAGAAAAGATGGTCAAAGTTATTATAATGCATGGGTTAAGATTGCCTTTGATGGGAGAAGTGACAGTGACGCAAAAAGTTGTCAATATGCACTGTATTACAAATTTACGACGATAGAGATTGCTTATCGCTCAGAAACACTCTACAAATGGCAACGATTTTCAAGGCAGGAAAAGTTCTCCTCGGATCATGAATCGTAATCTCTGGAACGTCCTCGAAAGTTTTGATTTTTACCCAACCAATGATCAAAGCCAATTCCATGTGTGTATTGATTCAGGATAAGGGGAGATGAGAAGGAAACACAACAAATCTAATCTTTTTTTCTTTGTCTCAGATAACTTTAATTCATTAAAATTACACTTTGTTTTCTCACTAAAATGAAATAACACTGACTGATTTTTATTTACGTGGGATTCAATTACATCATCATCTCTCCGATTTACTTTTTGACATATTAATATAATAAAACGGTATACATCTTCCATAGGAAGTACCTAGTTGACGTTACAATTATTTCTTTTACTTTTCGTCCTACTCGGATTTGGTTTTTCCAGCAGATCTTAATTACAAGTTATTCCTTTAATTTCCTTTAAATCAGTGATAAGTGTTTCTACTTGTCCATAAAATTCGTCCAACATAAGTTTGATGTGTAGCAGTACATCTTGAGAAGTTTGTGTTGCTGGAGGACGATTCCATGGTTTGTTGACAGTGCCATTCCTCTGTTGGGTACCTTGCGGTGTATTGTTGTTCCCTCGTCCTTGCTGCTGATTTAATTACAATAAAACAAGTTTAGAATACCAGTCGAAATGTAGCTACCCCTTAGTTTGAGAAAGAGGATGTATGTAGGATGGAGCATTCCACGGAAATACAAAAAAACACTTACAATGATTTTAACGATTTTTTGCAGATGATTTATGAGTGCCTTGGTGTGATTTTTCATAGATCTAAGTTCGTTGGTAACCAGTCCTTCGGCCCCTTGGAGGCGTTTCAGTTGTTTCATCAAATATTTCATTGCTGCCACAAATGTTTTCAATATGCGAAAGTTTACTCTGAGAATTTCCTTAGGCTGAAAAATGAGAAAAAAATCATTAAAAATTTAAAAAAAACCGGCACAATTAGATCCATACCTTTTGAGGATGCCTCACTGTGACATTCTTAAGTTATTCAGTTAATTAAGTTCATTAGCAAAGTCGCCTACAATAAATTATCGTAACCACTATATCGAAAGATATCTTCACGCATGACAGCGGCGTTCACTGACCTACAAAGCAATTCTGAAGGACAAAAAAAGTAAATGAGAAACTGCTACATAAGTGTTTACCGTATGTGCTGTTTTATTGAACCTTCCGAGATGTACGATGAAGTCTACATTGGATTCCTTGTAAGGGTCTGTCGGCCATTGTCTTTCCTTTAAGGCAATTCAGCATAATTAGAACAACACGTACAAAAACTGAGAAACAGATCACCGTTGCTTTGTGAATGTTAAAGTAAATATCAGTATGTTTCAATTGAAAATCCAGACATCATAAAAGTTATAAAAAGATATAATTGAACATGGTAGGCAAAACTTACAATCGTGCTGCTGAGGACAGTGATTTTATTCGCTAGAAATTGAGAGAGAAATAAAGCGTTTGAGAGCAGAACTTCGGCGTCCTTTTGGCATGGCCATGACTGGGAAGGACGCTTAAATGGTAAACATGTCGCTACTGCAAAGATACAGCCAACGGGAAAACTTACTGCAGTTATCACTAGGAAAGAAAACATAGGAACCGTTAATAAAATACAAATATACAATGGCGAAACTTTCTTTCTTGTTCAACTGGGCTGCATAGTTATACAAGGAATAGTATTAAACGAAATTAAAACTAAAAAAAAAATAATAATAATCAGAGTTTTTAAAAACTAACCCCTGCTCGAATATTTTAAAAAATCATTTCTACTGAATGATATCACTCAAATTCTATACTTTAATAACTGACTCAGAATGGAATCCTTCTCAGAGAAAATACCGGAAAAGGGAATTTAGACAAAATTTCGAATCTTACCTTTCATTTACCAGAACTTAGCCGACGATTTTTCTAACAACAATCGATATCCTAAACTGCCTGAATTGGGATCCAGAGAAAAATTTGAGCTCTCTTAAAGAAAAGAATGTGACTCATGTTTTCAGATTTAGCAGCAAGGCTGGAAAAGTCCGCGAGGATTGTCCCGTGTGCAACATCCATTTCCGTTACACCTGCTGCATGGGTACATCCGGTTACGTTACTCACGCCACACGAGTGGGGTAAAAAAATGTATTTTTAAAAGTTTAAGGGGGTAAAAAGCAATTAGGTGGGAAGAGGCGCTCATATTTTTCCTTTAATATTTATATGGGGAATTTTTCTAACGGTATTGTTTGTTTTTCTCCCACCTGACATCAACCTGACGAGACACTTTCTATGTCATTTTAGTTTTGCTTATTTTACAAAAAGGGAGATCTCATAAGATTTTATTCGAAATCAATCGAAGAAAATGTTTTAAGAAAGATGCCTCAAGGAAAAATAAAATTTCAGACAGAGAGAGTAAGAGATAGACAGAGACAGAGAAAGAATGACAGGGAGATAGAGATAGAGAGTTGAAACAAACTGATTTATTTTGGACTAAAACTGGTCCAGAAGTATGATGAGAATCTTCATAAGTGTGGTATCGTTGTTAGACTTATATCCACTTTTCTTTCGACGAGAAAATGTACATGTAGGCAACGTAAAAAATGAATGCGAAATATTTTCTGAAATTTTCATAGGCACATTCAATTTCAGTAATTGCGCCTTTTTTATCTTGTGTAGCTTTCTAAACTTGTCTTTGGGCATATTCACCAATGACGAGTTAACGAGAACTGAAACCGAGAGGAGTTGTGGTCGAAATTGCTCTAGCACCTCCAGTATCTATAACCTATTTGACCACATGCTCCAACAAAAATATTTCCCGTCCTCGCTCTAATTTTCCGGAATTAATTACCACTTCATTTTGTTGGCGTGCTACATCAGGACCAAAAGTAAATTATGATATAAAATAGAAAAAAAAAGGTTTTATTAGTTGGCATGTTTGGTAAAGAATTGGGCAATAAAATAGATAAACTTGCAAGACAAAATAACAAGTTCTCTTCAGAGATAGAGCGTTAGATGAAAATTTTTAAACCCTCCAAATTCCCAAACACATTTAACACATCAACACCTCAGCAGCTTTAATAAGACACTGGGAAATTTAATTTTGGAGTGACAACCACGATCATTTTTTTGAGACGAAACTAATTCCGCTGCGATAAAAGTTATTTTGATGTTACAAAAATGAGGAAAGGAAAAACATCATTTAATTAACAAAAGGAACATTTTTCAGTAGACATGCGTCAGATTTGTGTTACCAAGGGAGCTGGGAAGTATGTAATTGTCATGGAAAATTCATAACTTTTCTCGGAAAGACTTTTCCTAGAAATATGATGCACCTGTCTATCTCAGTGCTGAAGACCGAAAAAAGAAAATTTCAAATTGATTTCGTTGGGGGCGTCAAACTCAACACGATTGAAACGTATTTCTTAAAAATATCAATCAACACATCGATTTTATCTTAAAGAAAACATCATTAATAGCCTCTACTACCTCGAAACAGTAGGGAAAGAAACAAATGATTTCTCTGGGGAACTCCCGTGGAATATTTATACAACTGATGTCTCTTGACATGTCATAAGGCAAACAAGGAAGCATAGACAGGGGGCATTTTATCATTTGGCGAGGAAGAAGTCGGGATTATCGTCGTAGAGGGAAACTTATGGTAAGCAGAACACAGAAAACAGATGTTTTACTTGGTTGAACTGAGTTGATGTAGGAGTTGCAGGTACCAGTATATTCAGTTGTGTATAATTTCAACAATCGCGTTGGCGGCGGTTTTTTGACGTTAGAAAAGCATCTGTTCTGGAAGCAAACGATTATTCCGGAAGGGACGGACTTCGACTCATATTCTTAATTCGACTCATATTCTCAATTCGACTCATATTCTTAATTCGACTCATATATTCCTAAACGGATTAGATTGGGCTAGTGAAATGGAAAAATGTTTTGAACTAAGGAATTGAATTCATTCCGTAAATATAAGCTGTCATAGATGTAGTTCGATGTACCAATTTATGTATAGAAGGAAATAATGCAGCCTGAAGGCTTCGGTTCTGATTTGGTTGCAGATATCTGTCATTTCTCTCATGTTATTAACCCACCGGTTGGACTGAACGGAAGTTTAGACATGAACACTCACAATCGTTTTACTTCTGATTCTATAGCAACACAAAAAATGGATTACAAGTACATTTATTTGATCGGAGAAGAGTTGAATTCACTCAACAACACTTGTACCTGTAATCACTGTTATATACAGGTTGGTCTGTGAACACATAAACACGCTTTTTTCATTGTGGACTTTAAATTTTTAACATTAGCATAAAACTGCGAAACCGAGATACAAGCCAAAAGATTTACAACTCAGTGATATGATGTAAATTACATCAATTTCTGAGCCAGAAATAGTACCTGCTATGCACAAAATGATACAATACTCATAGTCCCTCTCTATCTCTTTCCAGATCATTCCCACCTGAAGGTAGACCCTGTTAACGAGAGATATAGGTGTCCATTGTAAGCGGTTTGCTAGGTTACTTTGTCAATCTGAGCCTCTAACCGTTCTTTGCTGATTTGTTATTGATATTGCTACTAAGATTTGAAACTAAGAACTGATATTTTGTCATAAAAAAGAAAAGAAGGAAAATGCAACCGCAAGTAAAGCTGAATCACTTGCATGAATTCCTGCTGCATTCGATTATTTAACTTTACTTTTAGACTGAAGTTGAATTTATAAATTCAACCAAATGTAACATTGGAGATCACTTCTGTAAATTTATTTATTTAAAGGAGAAAATAATTTCTAATAAATTAAGTACCATGAGAAATCGAACCTCAGACCTTCGGATCCACTCTCTACAACTGAGACACGGAGACTCTATGATGAGGTAGGCTGTTACTCTTTTTACACTTAGTTTTCAGAATCTTATTGAAATCAACGTCAATATCAAGAAGGCTCGAATATAAGTCATTCAAAACCAGCGACACGCGAAGTGCTACGCTGTGAATTGTGGGTGCGGTAGAATTCAGGAGTCCAGTTGAGTTCTGGGAAGTGATCTTAGAGGTGTGCATGGACATGACTGCTGAGACATGGCTCCCACTTATCACAGATCCCACAGGTGCTTTTGCGTTTGGGGGAGAGCCCTGCAAGGAGAGATACTACCACAGTGAAGCTTCCTTCGTTAAGTTTAAATTATCAGGGCATTCCTCTCAGGAGAAATATTCAATTTTTTGAATAATTTCTTAAAACTAAACTAGTGAGCAACACTCTGCAAACAGTAGTTGTAAAAATTCTTCATTTTCTGACGCGTTTCGTCTAACTGTTGCAGACTTCTTCAGGGAGTTTTACAAGTTAACACTAAACGCCTATATTTATAAGCCAGAGTTAGTGGCTATGAGGGGGCCAATGATCATAAAGGCTTCGCCGAACATACGAACAGGAACTGGCGAAGTCATTTTTTTTGGCAAGGTGAGAAAATATTTGGGAGCCACAGCTTTTGCTAAAAATCGTGGCCTCGAAATATTTTTCTCGATCAGGATATAAAAGGGTTATTATACACATCTAGTATTGAAAAGATTGGAGGAGATTGCTGAGCGAAGAAGACCTGTAATCTGCTTCTATTCAGCGGTTGTGGTAAAGAGAACGAAAATTCGGCAACTGTCCACTGGTCAGCTGGCGTGAGCCATTGCTTGGACTAAACAAAACGTTAAAATGACATGAGAGAAATTGAAGAAACAAAACTGAACATGGAAAAAAATCAGTCATAGTGTATTTAGTTTAATGACAAAACTTACCCTCCCAGTCATTTAATCAATTGATTGGGTCACTGAAGGATCCATCGACTGATCAATCGATCTATCATTAATGAAGAGTACCAAATTTGGAGCCAGTTGGCCCAAGTCGTGCGGTAAATCTATCAATCAGGTAGATTCTCTTAGCAAGAAACTAATTCATCGTTAAATCTATCTAGTTGACAGCTCCCCGAACAATTCGTGAGCAACCCGTCAACTTAAAACTTGTGTTCTTGAGTGGAAAATGAAGAATTGATTAAATTGAGAATTTATTTTGTTTATGAGGAAGTTGACACATAAGGAAGTGAATGATTAAGTGACTGATTGGCTTATGTACTGAATCATTGCCAACTGACTGACTTACAAATTGACTGACACACCCACTGACTGACTCACTGAACACTGTTTTACTGTCTGAATGCAAAAGGCCTGAATGGTTAATTGCTGAAGGATCTAATGAAACCCTAAGTTACTTCTTGACTCAAGGCATTCCCTACTAACTGACCGATTTATTGAAACTAGACTAATGTATGAAACAAAATATCAGACTTACTACATTCACATACGACCTATAAACGTCTCCTCCGAGTATCACTGAAATCGGTAATAGATGTTTTATTAAACCTCGGGCTGTTTTGCTGACTTCACAGTGAGTAGAATGTTTATCAACAGGTGCACCATGCGATAAGGATAACAGAATCATCATAGCTACGACTGCATGTCGTGTTACAAATCCTAAAACTAAGAACGCATATCATTCGCTCAGTCGGTTACCGAATCAGAAAAAAAATAGTGTATTCTCACGGAAAATTGACTTAAAGTCGAAATAACAGACGAGAAGTTGTAAATCGCAGTTTGAAGAGTTGTAAAATAATTTGCTAGTTCTCACGCCGCGCCTCTTTGACGATGAAAAAGGGTATCTCACCTGTCATCTCTCTTTTTCTGATTCTAACTTGAGAAGGCTTGCCTCTATCTTGCGTTTAGTCCAAACTAGGTGACTCTTTCTTCTGGAGTCTCTTGGATTATCGTGAACGGCTTTTATACAGTGTCTTTATGGTCATTTTTTAAATGTGGCACCAATTACATAAGTGTGTTCCTGTAAATGTAGTTCATGTGCTGAAATATCCCCATAGACTAATCAGATATAGTAACTAAAGTAGCGATCTCAGCAAGAGCGATCCAAGGCATTTCGCATCGGAACAAAGTTTTCCCTCAAACTTTGCCCAATAATCTATCTTTGGTAGCAAGTAAATAAAACCACATTGGTTTTGAAATGCGTTTTTGGTCTGGTCTGGACTTGAGCAATATCAACCAAGAAAGAAAGAGTACTTTTGACCAATTTCAAAAAGCTGTCTAACGAGTGTTTTTAAATAAATTATGACGAACCTCTGAATGAGCGAATATCAAAATTGAAATGCTTTTTGTAAACCTTACATATCACACAGTTTAAGAATACAAAAGATCTTTTGCTGCATGCGGTTTGATACGAGGACCGGGCTTTTCAACTTTTGAAATTTTCGATGTCGCAAGCGGTCAAAAAAGAGCCTTTTGCAGCTTTGACTATTGAGAGCTCTACAAATTTTATTTTAACGTATTTCCGGAAACTAATGTGGTTCTATTTACTTGCCGCCAAAGATAGATTTTTGGGCAAAGTTTGAGGGAAAACCTTGTTCCGATGCGAAATGCCTGGACCGCCCTTACAAAGATCGCCACTTAATCTTCACTCCAACAAGTTTTACCAACAACAACACTGGTAAAAATTCAAAAGCTATGTTTTGATAAAATCGCATCAACTGAACACTAAGCTCAGTGGAGTTAAAAGACTAAAACGTTGCTTTGTGTCGTTTTTTTGGAAAAAAAGAGGAACTTACAATTCCATAAGTCTTGGTTAAACTAAATTTTCGAAGCGTAAACTTAACAAACGCTTTGCGTCATGTTTCAGTGCTAGGGGTTTTCTGAATCGGTTCCGTTGTAGGCATTAAATTATTAATCAGACGCTTGCCAATTACGGGAACAAGAGGTGTTACATTTTCGATTATAATTGTGCGGGTAACAGATCTGCTTTGATTTTACAATTCCCAAAGAAGAAAAGATTTAAAAAGAAAATAGCTATTTTGGTACACTTTTGTACCTTTAGATTTAAGTCTAACGGATAAAATTTCATTCAGGAAGATGTGAACTTGTGTTATTCGTACAAAGACTTGTTTTTATAATCGGATGAGGAAATTGAAAGGTAACTTTTTCCTTTAGAAATTGTAACAACATAAAAGTTCAGGGAAATTTGGCAAATAAGAACAGCAACGATAGAAAAATTCATCAATTATGAAGTACAGAACTTCGTCGCAATGAAATTGATCGATCTAGACACCAATTGGGGATGTTTTCCAAGAAAGGCCGTTTTGCTTCTGTATGTCAAATCGATAAGTTTATTCAAGGAGGAGGTAACAATATCAGTGACATGTTTGGAAACCGATCCCTGGCATGACAGCACAGGAACATAATCTCATGTGAAAAGTTAGTATTTGCTTGTTGTTTCACACCCCTATATTTACATTATAAGTTTGTGCGATAAGCAGTCTCTGTTTTTACGTCACTGAAAAAAATAAAACAAAAGAAAAAAACAGAAAAAAATAATAGGTGGGAGTTTTTTTTCGGCTGTAAAATCAAGTCACATCAAATCATATGAAGTTTTCACAGTGCGCTTAACTGGGGACGTTGAGTTTCGGTCACCTTAAGAATCACAGAGGGACAGCTTTTTCAGATGGTGTGTAATGTTTCCATATTCACACTTGACCAGTACGTAACATATAACTCTTCAGCAAGGGTAGCACACATTTCACACTCAACGTTCATGTATTCCTATCGATCGTCTCCTATGTTTTTACTTCCATGAATGAAGAGTTTCCATGAACCCGCTCGTTTTCAGAACCTCTTGGTTCATCCAAACAGCAATTTTCTGAATTTTCTCTATGATGATGTAACGCTCGCTGTATCCTGCATCAATAGACGAGATACCCGCTCCTGATGCTGTGTTTGTGTTAATTGATAATAAGATTAGTTCCTAAATACTTTATTACCGTTTCAGGGTAATAAGAGTATAAAAAAATTTACTTATGGCACAGTAACTGATCATGTGGCTCAACAAAGATGAGGCAAGATTTAATACTGGCGACTGGTTGGGGGTTAAGTTGTTTTCACTGTGTAGCATGAAAATGAAACAAAGTGTAGTGTCTTGACTTGTGAAAATCAAGTATTATTCTGTTTGTCATTGCTCTGATGAAAAGGTTTAGATTCCTCCTCAGGTAACGTTGAGATCTTTATGTTAAAAATTCAGAGTGATCCTCGAAATTCGCGCCATGATCCAGCATTGACGTAAAGTATTGCTATGATTAATTATTACAACACTCTTCACCGGTTTCAGAACAGATGCGCATTCCATCTATCGAGACACAGGAAACAGCTTCTTCGCCGTTGTGATCACTAACTTTATCGTACATAAACGCTTCCCAGCACAAAAAATCGCCGATCAGACCTGACCAGTGTGTTAATTCTCTCTCTCTCTCCTACTATCGCTCAGCAGCAAATGTGATTGCCTTGGAGAACTGTTGGAATTGGACCTTCTCAAACATCAAATCAGAATTAATCACCGTCTTTTTTTCTTATCTTTGGTCGATCAATGCCACTGCCATCAGCAAATGTTTTCCGCATTAAACCAGCCTGTTATGAAGCCCCTCAGACTGTTATACTTTTTCTCGGGGGTTAACAATTTTTTCGCGATCTGCGCGATCTGTAATATATTGGCAAGAACTAAAATTCCTAGATAGTGCCTGATAGATGTTGTGAGTGAATAACCATTTCGAGGACAAGGACGAGTTTTCCGTGACATAAGTAAAAACCAGACTCCAGCCTCCATAGAGCACACTTTTTCTCTTTTTTTTTGGGTTAGACTAGTGTTGAACAGTATTTAATATTTGCGAACTGACGAAAAAGGCATCAAAAGCGGCGGTACAGTGTCATCTAGAGTTGTGAACAATCTATAAGATAGACATCGAGAACTTCAGTTTATTGACATTTTAAAATACCACAAACTTTGGTGACTTCAGAAATTCGTGTTCTGAAAACTTCACTCTAACCACTGGTGTCGCAGTTGTTGTAACTGTGCGATGAGAAAGAGTCCAAGGAACAGACATAAGGCTCCCTTGTTACCCATACCGGTTCAAGATGCCTTTGATCGTCTGGCCTGCGATATCATTGGGCCGTTTCCGCCCTCAAAGTTAGGAAACAGATATGTTGTGGTTTTCTCTGAATATTTGACGAAATGGGTGGAAGCATTCCCTGTTTCTTCCATTGAGGCTTCCGTCATAGCCCACTTACTGGTAGATGAGATTTTTGCTCGTCATGGTGCTCCAAGGACTCTCTTGTCCGATTGTGGAAGCTACTCCCTGTACTCCATTGTAACGGAAGTGTGTCGCTTACTTAACGCTAAAAAGGTCCATACTACGGCCTACCTCCCTCAGACGGATGGGCTTGTTGAACGTTTCAACAACACCCTCGCAGAAGCTATATCACCTGGATTGGGACATTTAAATTGCTGCAATTTCATTCGCCTATCGCACGTCTCCTTGCGTCTCCACAGGCGATACCCCTTTCTATTTGTTGTATGGTCGCCAACCGCGTTTGGCACCTGATGTGAGTTTATTGCTACCTTCTCAACTCTCTTCATCGGTTGAAGAACATCGTGCACGCATCGTAAGTCAATTAGAGACAGCTCAGTCAACGACACGATCAAACACCGCTAGAACCCAACAATTGATGAAACTTCAGTATGACAAGAACTCTGCTGACCCCCAATTTGAGATAGGACAACGAGTCTGGATTTACACTCCACGAGCGAAGCGTGGTTTAAGCAAGGAACTCCTATCTAAATGGAATGGACCATTTCGCATCTGCAGAAAGTTTTCACCGGTACACCATCAAGTTCGAACATGTGACAATCGCCTGGTGGCTACCACCGTCCGTGCCAACCGTTTGAAGCATTTTTATAATCCTGCGGATCGCCCGATTTTACCTCCTGCAGAAGATAATCTTGATGATTTACCCTTTGACACCTCAGTGCTGCCCGCAGACAGTCGTGACTCAGAGGACCCTAAAACTACTAACGACGCTAATGCTGTACCTAACAAAGATGTAAGTACGTCTGTTTATTCAACTCCTGTTGATTCTCCAGATTTGCTCAACGAACCGGATGTTCACCGTACTGAAAAGATTCTCAAGTCACGAAGACGAAATGGCAAGATACAATACCTGGTTATATGGTCCAACTACCCTTCATCTGAAAACACGTGGGAACCCGAAGAAAATATTTTGGATTTACGACTTCTGGAAGAGTTCGACAAAAAGTCTAAGTAAAACATTACTAATATTACCACTTACTTTACTTATCTTATCGACTGTAGCTGTACATGCACAGGCAGATCGAAACTCCTTTTCCACTGACTATAATCTTAATGGTAAGCGGGTGACCTATTATCCTGAGTCACTAATGATTTCTCATAATCCACTCTCAGTTGTGTTCTATAAAAATACCAAATTGTTTGACCTTTTCGTTTATTTGCGAGCACCGGATATGGGCACTGATTTCACCATTAATAATACTTGCAACAAGGATGCTTCAGAATTTTTGAACCAATTGCTAGAACAGATCCCTGCATATCAAAAAGCTATGCAACGACTTTTGTCCATGCATAGCTATACTTCATTGATCGAATGCGACTCTTATTTGCGCAGATACTACCAATATTCCACCGGGTTTAGTTCGACAATGACTTGACTTGGCTCTAAAACACTGAGACAGCATAAGCGCGACAGAACGCCAATAGTTTTTAGAAACGGAGCAAGATCGCAAACGAGGAGCGAGGCGAAGACGTTCGACGCTTTGAGTTTGTTCTGCCGGAGTCTTAGGGATTCCGCAGTTTTTCTATACCAAAATACTCGGAAAGACTTGTGAAAAGAATAACGTATCTGGCCTAGCCCAGAGGTCTTGAGGTCACTAACTTGAGGTCATTAAGCTCAAATCTACCATTACTTCACGCAACAAAGTGGCATAGGCTGAGTCACATGATTCCGTGATTTTTACTTTCTGAAACGCCAAACTTTGGAGTATCAAGGTTTTGAACGAGTTAAATCTGGTGCGGAAAAATGCCAACTTCTAATTCCTGTTGTTCAGGTTATTAAGATCATTATCATAAGATCATAAGACCCGGAAGAAGCGCTAAAATTTCCTTTAAAACATGTGCAGCAACATTTTCACCTCGCTAGATTTTTACATTTTCAACTTACAAACTTAAAACTTACTAAAGAGTCTTGTTCATCTTACCGTGTACGTCAACGTTCTGGATGTTAGACAGACCAAACATTGTGATGATGCAACTAGAAAATTGATGGATCTTGCCAATGGCGGTGGAGTGCAGAGAATCTCGAACATAGTGCCGATCCCGAAGACGAATGGCGCGCACAGACGTATTTTCCAGCTTGACCAAGAGAAACACAAGAAAGGAGAAAGCGAAAAAGTTTGTAGGATGACCTGTATATATGTCAATTCTCAGCAGTTTTTTATTTTTCTTTAAATAAGAAACCAAATGAAAACCGATGATTAGAAGTTTATCTACAAAACACCAAGTTAAGTTAGGATTTCTAGTTTCCAGGTATCTGCTCATACTCATATCAATTTGAGCCCATCAGAGCTTCTGATGGCGGACGAATTAAACATTTCATAAAAATAAATAGACAAACAAGTAAACAACTAATTTATAATCATTACTATGATTTAATCAGGACTTATTTGCTTCCCTGCTGTGCGCCTTATCCTTCTCTATTTCTCAGTTTGTAAGTTTTCGTTATCTCAGCTTTGACAATTGTTTATTTGACATAAATCGTTCAAGTTATTAGTTA